CAATTTTTATATGTTCGCTAAAAGCCGTTATCTTGTTTTTTCCTTTACATCGTTTATAAAAAGTACCATATGTTGAAAATGGGGAGAACACAGAGTTGATTTCAATAAGTACCCCCGCAAATTGTGTTAAACGAAAATGTCTTCGGAAATTCTGTTAAAGTGCTAAAAAATGCTACTTGTGATCCCTTTCCTTTTCTTGTATTATGTTGTCCGGTTTCGTATACCCGCATCCACGCAGTATATTCTCCAAAAGCCTGTTACTTTCGGTTTAATAGTCTTGCTGTATAACAAAAACAATAGTCTTTGTGCAAATGATACACTAGTACAACTAACTTGATTGTGATGAGCAGAAACTCTCGATAGAAGATTCAAGGCGAAAACAAGCCGGAATCGCAAAAATGTCAAAATAAAACATGCGGCGAAATACACAGAAAGAACAAACGATTACGATTCCTAAAGCTAGCTTTGCAATGCTCAAAACTCTAATGTTGCACATGAATCAAAACTTGTGCACCTCCAATAATTTTAAGGTAAGTTCGCACGATTTATTGTTAAACAAGTACGAGTGTAGCATAGTTTACGCCCACTTTTTTCATCTTTCTGAATTAAATTAGTGCCACACTATTTATCCGCATATGTGAAATTAATCTATAAGAGAAAAAAAAAGTAACGTGTAATGTTCAAATAGATGTTGTGCAATCTGAATAGCAGATGCATCTGCTGCTTGCGAGGGAGAATGCGTACGGTTTATTTTAATTTTAATATTTTTTTAGCTCGCAATACAAACACAATTTGTACACAAATGACCGCGTTATATCATAACAGTTCTCTTGGTTAGTCATTAGACAAATGAATTGAAAAAAAGCTGTGCTTTAAGTACGTATATCGATGGGAATTTAGTGTAAAAATATATGATAAGCGCATTCAGTCATATAGTTGTTAATTGAAAGTAAATAAAGCGGTCATGATCGAGATCAAGCTTGTGCAATCTTTTATAAGATTTTCAATTGAAGTATTTTTTTTTTTTTTTTAATAGGAATACACTTTTGAACCACTTCGTGCTTTGCGACGGGTAAATTCGGGACCATTATGGCTTCCTCGGACATATCTAAATATAGATTTTTTATTCAATTTTCGATTCAATCAAGGTTTAATGGACAGCTTACTGCCCAAATGTTTAACGATGACACGAAAAGTATTGCCATGAGTCACTATTTAGACACGTTTGCCTTCTTTTAAATGTGGAATAACAATATCATTCCAGTACGGCAGTGTACGTTGGATGGTCAGGACCATCAGCGTAGCGGGGTTCATTTATAATGCATTCATAATAGGGAAAAATGACTAACGCAATAAAATCCATTTATAGTGCCTTGAATTGAAACGAACGACGACATTACAAAAATACTTGCGCGTATATCTTTTATTTGTACAAGATTTTTTTTTTTTTTTTTTTGTAAACTTTAGCATTTATTCAATTTGCATTAGAAAGCAAGTCTGCTGAAGAGTCAAGAAAATGCAAGGTATGGGAACTATTCACATTGTTTTCATATTACTCAGAACAGTACAAGCGACAAAATGATCAAGGTTCTTGAAATGTACTATTTTGACTGCTAACTCTAGACTTCTTCTGTGTATATTCTCAGCAACTGGGTTTTTTTTTTTGCAGAGATTGCATAGACATTTTTACATTTTTAACAAAAACTGAGAGAATGTTTAAAGAATAGTTTGACTTTTCAGAAGTTTTCACTCTGTTTATTCATTCTTTTACTTCGCTCACAAGTCATTAACAAATGTTAAATCTTTTTACAATACGAAAGCAAGAAGCATAGATTGTATAGTTACACGCTTATTACATTCCATATCAATGCTCACTCGTTCTAGTCATTTTACAGCGTTGACCATATAATTATAAATTTACGTCGAGGTTCTACAAATTGTACAAACGCTTTGCCAGTTCAGAGCATACTCTCGTTACTATTGTCTAATAATAAGTTTCGCTTTTCTGCCTTATTCGCGTTGTCGTTTTCGGCTCTCCCCTTATTCTGACTTCCCTACTCGACTAGACCGGTCTGTCGCTCGACATGAACTATTAGGAGCCAGCTGTTTTACGATTCCGGCTAAGCGTGCCTTTTGGTAACCTTCCGTATCCCAACCAGAAACATCTGTTTCTGACTGGAGTTCCCTTATTTCCCGTCGTCCATCTAGTAGTTTACTTAGTCCTATTCTTAACCTAACTTATCCTAGCACTTCTCTCTCAGAGACGAAGAACCTGTGAGGCCAAAAGGAGGGACGGCCTTAGCTCCTCACAAAATTACATAAGAAATGTTCAATAATGCTTCTCTCTCTCTGTTTTAGGCACTTCGTTATTTTCGTCAACTAATAAATGGCCTCGTGTACCTGCAAAGCATCCGTGTTATACACAGAGATATAAAGCCAAGCAGTCTGTTATTAACGCTAACCGCTTAACGTTTAATTTTTGCGTAGTAGAATAGTTGGAACTATTTGCAGCAAATGACATTCGTTTAACTGGGCGTAGGCCTCTTGCATTTTAACCGCCTGAAGTTGCTAACGGGGTTTGAAGCGTTTTCGGGATCCAAAGTAGATTTACGAAGTAGCGGTGTCGCACTGTAATTATTCATTAAAGCCTAAACAAAAAAAAAAAAAGAAACGGAGCTCAGCAAAAATTAATTTGTTTTAGCTATAATAAGTGCACGGGCTTTTATCCATTTAAGCAAAATAATATTTACCATTTATTAGAAAAAGTTCGACGGGCCCGACGCCGTGATAATTGTGGCAACAGCAACTGTGGTGGTATTAGTAGGAAAGGCGACCCTTTTAACCAGTCAATTAAATTATGATGTATGCTTTGTATGCATTTCAACTGATCTGCAATTAAATTTTCGGAATACTTAACATGATTTGCTGAAGCTTTTTTATCATGCTGTGCATATTTAGACATTCAATAAAAATTTTTTGAAAATAGCACACCCCATGGATGCACACGAATATCAGGTATTTTTGGTGCCTATTTTGCTAATGCTGGGGAACACATGAGACAGTAGCACGAATGAACAGGAAATAAGATGATTCAAGTCCTCTGCATTAGCCCTTTGAAAAGTTTGTAGAGTGATGAGACTTTTGTTGGGCGTTATTGTTCGGAACGCAACCTACGTTTATTCAAAATAAAAATGAAAACTATTAAAATGCCTGATTTGACTTAGGTTGAGCGCCACTGAATGTAGCGACCCACTTATATCGAAAGTGAAAACAATTCAAAAAATTTGGTATTCCTACCTGGGAAATTCAGTTGAAGCGAAAGGATTTCACAAGTATTCGTCGGTTTGAGTGTCGTTGGGCGCCATATTATGTAAAGTTATGCCACCAACGTTACCGAAAATTACCATAAAAAGAAATAGAAGAAAGAAACGGTACGTGGTCCGGGATCATGGCAAACCTACAAAAATTTCAAATGTACGAATTGGGAAACATTTCGTTTTCTACTTCGAAAAACAGAAACACGTCTCAGCACTTCCTAAAAGTGCGGAGCTTGAAGCGCAGACGATCTTTTCAAACTTACAAGAAGTCTACAAAGAAAGTGCCTTGGTGGAAGCAGACTCTTCAAGACCCGGTGAATGAGTTAAGTACAAGAAAGCCTTCACTACATATAAAGCTAAACTTAGCCGGTCGAAGCGGGTACGTGGAGGCAGTACTGTAAAGACATATATAGTCTCTCAAGACCAATGCGGCTTTAAAAAGTCTGAGTTAAAGATCACAGCAATGGAATGTGCACTCTAAAGAAGCCCAGCGAAGATTATCCAGAAAGTCAGAAAGATACTGGTCGTCTGCTGACGGATACCTATTTTCCGGGATGCCTGTGAAATGCGGAAATAAGAGACCAGGCGTACCCTAGAGAAAAACACTTACCGAATTCTAGGAGCCGCCCTGGCAATGACATCCCGCCCCTTGAATGCCCAAGAAATGCTGCTGGACATCACACCTCTTTCTATTGGTATAGAAAAAGAGCCTGGCCTGAGCGCTTTTTGACCGTCGAATTTCGACAGATTAAAATCGGGTAATCGCAGGGGTAGCCTAGGGGTATTGAAAAACTTCATCAAACCTTTGTCAAGGTACAGTACCATTGTGTTGTAAAGCTAGTACTGTCTCACCGGTTCAGCATGATCATACCGACAAGAACGGGCTCGGATGGGAAAACTTTTGAACACGGGTTAGAATCAAGAAAATGGCGATTCTAAAATTGCAAAACTGGGGCTGCGGGTTGCTGTCCAAGGGACATAGTCCTTCAACGTTTCAAGCAGAAGTTTACGCAATAACTGCATGTGCATCTCAATGCTTACGAAGACATTGAAGAAGAAAGCGGGTCTGCATATATTCCGACAAAGTAACCGGCTTAAAGTTTCTAAAGGAGCGAATTTCAAGATTTTTGCCTGGTATTGAAGTTCCTTTATTTATTTATTTATTTCAATTCTACTTATACATAAAACTCAACTAAACAAATAACAGTCGAGTTCAAGTGGCACTTAAAGCAAAACTTATACTAATTAATAATAAAACTTAGTATAGGTACAATAAAACAAATAAGAAAGGCATGTACACAACCAGCATAAAGCCACACTTACAACCGGTACAGGACCAAATTGCAAATCAACCCCTAAACCATCGCAAACGTGCATAAGCCTGGCAAGCGATAATAGTTAACAACC